AACAAGCACACCCATCTCATTAGTGGGCAAATTGGCTTTTGTCTTTAATAAATGGTAAAATTATGTGTATGCCAAATAATTGTTTTCAAATAAATTACTTTATGACGGTCAGTACATGTTTGATCTGTACGCCTATTTCATGTATCTATATACCTGGGGTGGTGCAAAATTTCCCAAGTGAGAAGGGGTAGGGCTGGAGTAAATTGAGAAACCTTTCCTCCTAGGACAGATTAAATCCCCTTGTCCAACGTTCTCTAGGTGACAAGCAACTATCCCCTTTGGCAAGGGTGTCACTGTTGCTAGTTGTATAAGTTCTCCCTTATAACATTTAAGTTCATGAGGGCAGAGGCAGTTTTCACTGGTTCGATGCCTGATGCCTTGTGGGTAGGAACCCAGGGTGAACTTAAAGGGGTGTGGGAGGACTGATGAGGAAGAGTCTCAGTGAGAGTCAGGGCAATCTCTCCATCCTGCTCCAAGCCCTGGCTTGGTTCCCTTCACTGTACCCAACGCCTCCTACTGTATTTCCACAACCCAAACTTGAAAATCCTCCTCAGTCAGGTTGGCTGGTGCCTAACAAAATCCAGCTGTGTTCTGTCAGATCCTTTTTCTTTCTTTTTCAGCCATTTCATGTTCCTCCTCTGGTGAGTTCCCCAAGGTCACACTGAGTCAAACGGTAAAGCTGGAAATAAAATTCAGATCACTTGGCTCACAAGTTAGTACTTGATCTTCTTACAGGAAGAAAGCAGAGGAAACAAGTTTAATGCTGATTCTCTAAGAGTGTTAGTCAAATGTAGGCTTTCATAATGCCTGCGGCTTCCCTGCTACATAAGAGACGATACAGAGTAATAAGCCCCATGGGAAAAGGCATTTTAAAAAGGGAATGGAAAAATACAAGGACACCATCTGGATTTGTAATTAGCATTGCAAAGTGATGTGAATTAAATTCTGGATTGTGACTCTCATAAGCTAGATTAGCACAGTGTGGTCAGGAGAAGGCAGGCACAGGCAGCGTGCTAATGGCTCAGCAGAAGGCACAGCGAAGCCCAGAAGCTGCAGGAACCACTAATGTCTATGGCATAAAATCCATGTTCTGTTCTCATGAGAAGCCACTTAAAAACGAGTAAGGCCAAAGCTAAATTCTTAGTTACACCACCACATAGTGAGAGAGTTAACTGAAGCCAAGTGCTTAGCCTGCCATGCTAAAGAAATGAAGCCAACCCATCAAAGCCGAGGAAATGGATTACACAATCTTACAGCGGGAAACTTAGGTTCACCGTGCAGAGAACCGGCTGTCTTCGTGTTAGGAATTCCTTAGGCACCTTTTTATCTGGGATGGGTCAAGCACAGGCCAGTAAGGGAAAAGGTGGAGGAAGGAGGAGGCTGCCAGAGCTCTAGACCCTTCCATCGTACTGTCTAAGAAGTGAAACTATCTTGGGGAAAAAGTGAGATGAAAATTAAGATGTTCACCCTGCAAATGCCTTTCCTAGATGTTGAGGGCTTGTGTATACAACTTACACTAACCCAGACGTCCTCAAGATGTCACATACTTCATATTTTGCTGACATGTCCAGTTCTTCCTGGAGACTCAAGTAACATTGTATTAATATCATTACATGTTACGGTAACATAGTGACATCAAAGTTATCTGCAGGGAAGTGAGGCAGGCTATATTTCACCAAAGTTCTTACTACTTACGGCACAAAAGGAGTTGGGTGGGGGGCAAGGCACAAAAATAAGCAACATCACTTTGTGGAAGTAGCCAAAAATAATTTCTGCCAGAGATGGTGGTTTACGCCTGTAGTCCCAGTTCCTCCAAGAGAATCCACTGAGGCAGGAGGATTTCCTTGAGCCCAGCCTGGACAATATAGTGAGACTCTTGTCTCTCAGAAGCAACGATTTCTTGGCAAAGCTTTTGTTTTACTTTTACTATCTTTCATGATCTTTCACTTTTTATTTTTTAAAATATTTTATTTCTTATTTTTATTTTATGTGTATGCGTGTATTGCCTGCATGTAGGTAAGTGCACCCATGTCGTGCAATGCCCGCGAGGACAGGAGAGGCTGTTGGATCCCTTGGAACTGGAGTTATGGACAGTTGTTAGCGGCCATGTGAGTGCTGGGATTCAAACTCGGGTCTTTTGCAAGAACAGTCAGTGTTCTTAACTGCTGAGCCATCTCTCCAGCCCAACACTTTTTATTTTTGAATCTAAATTAAAGTATAACTTCATCTAGAAATGGACTACTTCTTGTCTTAAGCAAAAGTATCTGTATGTACATGTCTGTGCACGCACATATGTGTGCACGTGCATGTGTAAGTCAGAGGTCAACACTGGGTGTTCTCAATTGTTCTCCACCTTACTTTTTGAGACAGTGTCCCTTACTGAACCTAGAGCACACTGACCAGCAAGGCCCAGGGACCCTCCTGTTTCCACCTCCTCAAGCTCTGGGATTAGTGGCGAGTCCCCACTTTGAACATGGATGCTGGGAGTCCGAACTCAGGTCCTCACACTTATACATCAAGCACTTTACCAACTGAGCCATCTCCCCAGGTCCCTAAAGTGTTTTTGATTTAAAATAAGCAGATGGAAGCCCCACCCCAGCTACTGGCAGCTGCAGGGAGAAGTAGGGAAGAGCCAGTTTTCTCTAAGGCTCTGACCCTAGTAGGTTGACCACATTCTTGGGGATGGCCCCACATCCAAGAGTATTTGGGGAACACATATTGAACTCAATGGGCTTAAAAAATAGGGTACAAAGATGGACATAGGGAGGTGGGGGTGAATCTGAGAGGAGATGGGGGAGAAGGTTGAATATGAGTAAAATACATCGTATGAAATTCTCTAAGAATACATATGTTATTTTTTTTTAAAAAAGCAGATGGTGGTTGGAGAGATGGCTCAGTGCACTTAAGAGCACTGGCTGCTCTTGCAGAGGACCTGGGTTCAATTCCCAGCACCCACATGGCAGCTAACAACCATATGAAACTCCAGTTCCAGGGGATCTGATGCCCTCTCCTGATCTCTTTGGGCATGCACGACAGAGCACTGACATACATGCAGGCAATACACTCATACATGTAAAATAAATTTTTTTTAAAAAAAGCAGATGGGCATGCTGATATATCCTATGATCTAGCACTCAGGATGGATTGTGAGTTAATGAACTAGCCTGGGCTATGCAGAAAATTTCAGGCCAGCAAGGGCTACATAGTGGGACATCATCTGAAAAAATAAACAAAATAAGGGACGATTGCTCTTTAGATGTCTCTCTGATTTTTTTCCTCTGAACCTGGAAGGTGACCCCCCACAACCTCAATGAACCAGGAAAACTATGAAAATGGCACGCTTATTATCAATCAAAGGTCAACTGAATTTTTATCACAATGGCATTTAATATTAATTGAGCATTTAGACACGAAGAGACACGGATGGAGAGGGTAAAAAAATCTGACTGTGAGCTCAGGTAAGCTTCATCACACTGTCCTCCAGTCTCATTTAACAGACCATACACACTGCAAGTGCTGGAGGTTAGAAGTTGCTAGTGTATCCCCAGAACGGTTCCTCTGGTCAGGAGCTGTTGTAAACGCCAAGTCGTGGGCTGTCTATAATTCTCAAGAGTGCATAGGACATGCCTTCACAGCCAGGACATCTGACCAGCTGTTGCTCACAACGACAAGCACTAAGACCAAGAGACCCCTGTGCAAGCGAGGCACACAGGTGTTCATGGGCAGCAAACTCCCTCCGACTCCATAAAGTCTGAGACGAAAACAGGTTTGAGTAACTCAAGGCTGAACTGAGACCCAATAATCAGAAGCACAGATGCAGCAACACAGACCAGCCAAGACCCGATAGAGAAAGCTTTAATCAACAAATGTGAGAACAACGCACCCAGACAGTAAACATCCAAATTCTCCATCGTCACCACCACCACCAGTCTAGAAATGAGATGACCTGCTAATATCAAACCTTCCAGTTCAGAGAGATAAAAGATTTAGGAAAATGTTTTCCATAAACACATTCATTTTTACCCCAAGGCTAGAATCACCAAAGAGGAAAAAACAGTTAGTACTCAATGGAATTTGTTCAATGCAGTTTCACACCGTTTCTCAGTACTCTCCTCTCCCACACAATGATCCCAGGAAAAGATGGAGGTTTTGCCAAACACTCATACGACAAAACAAAGAAATAAAATTTTAACGTCAATGAACTCTACATTATCGTATTTTTAAAATATGTATCAAAATCACTTCTCTCTTACAAAAGGGAGCTGGTGGACCTTTCCAAGAACAGCAGTGCAGTGCTGCTAGGATGCACCCTGCCTTCCTCATACAAATCAATGAGGGAAGCTGAGTTTGCACACACTGCCTGTGTGCTCAGTCACCTTGCCACATATGTACATGTGTAGGAGAAAACTCATCGATGCCACAATAGTAATTCAAGTGCTGGGAGGCAGGCATAGGAACCTGGGGGAAAGACAGCCATGCTTGAAGGACGAATTGCTTCAACACTTTTGCATGTAAAATAGTAACTGGAACAGAGACTGTGCAAGTCAGAATTCCTAAGAGCCCTAACACTAGTGTTCTGTGAACTGGTTTAGGGCTATGGCAGGCTCCTTCTCCAAGGCAGCACAGTCACCTTCTGTCCAGAGACTTCCCCAGGGACCTCTCTGCAGGCTTTGAAATGTGTCCTTTCTATCCTTTCTCCAGTCACAGCATATCATCTTAAACCAGTGATGGATCTGTACATGGCAGTCAGGAATTCACTACTGCCACTGTGTTCCACAGTCCTATGCATGCAGTTTCCTGGGTGCTGTGTACTTACCTCTCACTGCATGATTACACATGTTCTCGGCTAACATGAAAGATGAAAGTCTGGTGATACATGGTACTTAAAGAATCACCATCCCTAATCCTATTCTATACATCGGTTATTTATAGATGCTTCCCTGATTCACAGGCACGGGCACCAGAAGCTGAATTGTGTTCACGAACTCTCAGCCAAAACAGATGGGATAACAGAGACAAAATTTAATATGAAGAGTTAGAAAAAGGTTTGAGGTGAAAGGCTCGGTGCAAGTGCTTTCTCATGAAGAATCATGGGAAAATCAATGTTGGGAAGACATCCATATGGACGATTCCTCACCCGACACTTGGGACTCTTAGACAGAATTGTGCATGGATGTCGTCTTGCCTCTGCTAATGGGTAGGAAGCCGGTGCAGCGTCACTTAATCCTTCTGTCAGCAGAACAGCAAACAGGTGGAACAAGCAGGCAGACGAGTTTCCAAGAAGCACAACCTGAAGTTGTATCTAGCTGTCCAAGAAAATCCGGCATCATCAGTCACGCTTCAGAAGTTTAAACCAGATTTGTTCCCAGCATCCCCTGCTCACTGCAATCATTCAAAATGGACAGACACCATGAAGACACATGACCTTAGGAATCACTACTGAGTAGTATGCATGTCGGGGAGGGCCAGAGAAAACATTTTAGGAGTCTTCACTGGAGGGATCTACAGCAAAGAAGAGAAAATAGACATCTTGGTTCAGGAATTGCAGAACGCTGGTGGCTGAACTGTAGGCTAGTGACAGTGCATTAAAGGTCAGATCGGATGGCAGAGGTGGAGGAGAGTGACAGGGACAGGCTGTAGCCCACCTTCCCCAGGCAGAGGGAAGCAGGGCTCTCTCTCTCTCTCTCAACCTTCTCCATCCAGCTTGTTTGGTAATATGGCAGATGATATTCTTGTTTCTTCTCTCAAAGTGCCCAGACTCTTTCAGGGTTTAAATGCCCCCTTCAGAAGACCCAACAAAGCCACGTATTCATGGCAGACAGAAACACCAAAATTCCATTCAGAAAGTATCAGTTCCTCTAATGGGGAACTTGAACTAAAATCACTTATCATGATCGCACACATATAAACTTGAAAGAGTCTGCATGGCCACGGTCATGAGACTCAGCCAGTTCAGCTGTGAATGGTATCTTTCACTCCTGTGTGTTAAATAAAGCACCGATGGTATCGGTCTTTAACATAACTGTAACAGACAGAAACAAAATGACATAAAACCAACCAGACAGTGAGCATGTCTTTATATATGGGGCCACTTTTTTTTTGTATCTGTTTCAAAAGTATCAGATATTTATATTTAGTGGCTAAAAGACAGATCAAAACCTCCTACAAAAAAGAACAAAGTTCTGACCACTGAGACTGGGAGACGGGGTCAATGGAAGTCTATCAAGTACTCAGGGTAGATTTGGTTGGCATCAAAAACCACAAAGATCTTTGGGTTCCAGGTGTCATCCACACAGCTGTCATATAAATTCACATAGCTCCCATCTTTGGAAGGAGGCCGCATATACTTGGAGTCTCCATTTATGTAATCGCCAATTAGTACACGAGCGAGAAACATGGATTTATAGGTTCTAAAGAGGTGTCTCTGTTGCAGGCTGACGCCGTGAATCTGGAACGTGTTTCCATGCTTGATATCGTCTTTGCAGAATCGACTGGAGTAGGCAGCGTCTCTAGCAAAGTAGGTTCCTTGAACGAAAAAGACCAGAGAGAGCCAAGGTTACTTTTAGGAAAACATGTAACATGAGCAACAGCATTCTGACTCTCAGGAGAGCAGACACATGAAATCAGATCACAGGGATGGATGGGGGTCTCCTCTGCAGACCCCAAGGACAGAACAGAAATATGCCTGTGCTGTAGCTGCTGGGCAGACTGTCAGAGGCACTGACAGACGTGTGGGTACAGACCAGTCCTCACCAGAGCCCTCCTGTTCTCTCACCAAAATAGGTACCAGGATTCTGTTTCCAAAAGAGCTCTTACAAGGAAATCTGGTAAATAAAACACAAAAGTGTAGCAAGATCTGAAATTTTAGACCTCCTTTGCATTTCTAGTTCCTTCTCCCAGTGCCCCCCCCCCCCCGGCCCGGCATCCAGTAAAGCTCCAGAGTGAAGGAGAATGCTGCTCTGCAAGACGGGCTCAAACCTGAGATGCTGGGTTCCTACAACATGTGCGGTCATCCAGTAATACTGGAAACAGAATTTATATTGGAGAATAAATTCTGAGACAGTGCAAAGCAATTACTGAGCTTTGGACCTTAAATGTCCTCCAAGGCCCATGTGGCAAAGACTTGGTCTGCTTGGAAGACTGGTACCACTGGGAGACAAAGCTTCAGGGATGGAGTCTAATGGGAGGTCTTAGGTCACTAAGGGTGTACCCTAAAAGGGAGAATGTGGGACCCCAGACTCTCAAACTTTTTCCATTTTCCAGTTGCCAAGAGGAGACCACATCTTCCTTGCCATAATGGTCTGCCTTGAAACTGCCCCAAAGGAACACTGTCAATGGAGCACCAAAAACAATCTCTGAAATGATGGGCCAAAGTGAAAAATTCTTCTTCTTAAGATGACTGTCTCAGGTATTTTGTTACAGTAATAGAATGCTAACAAGCACCACTATTCGTATCTGAGCATTCCCAAACACTTTGAGATATTGCCCAAACATGAAAATTCAATAAAGCAGCCAATTCTTTGGAAATGACTGACACTGTCAAGAGAGTATTTACTCTAGAAAAGTGGGAGATTGAAGTCTCACAACCATCCAAATTGCTGGAACTCGTGTCACTTTTCTGAGTCTCTTACAGTTAAATAAATGGGGCAGCCTTTTCAGTAACTTTTCAATGAATTGTAGCATACCCTGATTCTAAGTGGAAGTCAACTCTCTCACAGGAAGTGAGGCACAAATGATGGGGAAAATAAAATCCCTCCATTACCTCCCCTTCCATTCCCTCCCACTCTGTTCCCTCCCCCTCAGCTCTCCTTAGCTGCCTGAGCATGAACTGGAAAACTTGGGCTTTCACAACAGTAGAAATAAGGTGACGTTTCCCCCATTATCCCCTCAGGTCTGTTAATATTCTTACCTACCATTTCTTAAACAAAACAAAACAAAAATATCAGTACAGTACAGGAGTAAAATATAAATAACTTGTTTTTATCACTGCCTCTATGTTAGCTATAAGGCAGCTTAATGTACAGGCTCATACATAGAAAGGCTTATGTGGATATTAAAGGTAATGCAAAGATTCTCGATCATGGACAGAGTATACTGTCTGTACAGTGAAAACTCAGGAAGCCATTATTCAAGAGGGCAGAAATGTAAGTCCTTTGTGTGTAGAGCAAGAGACTTCTCTGCAGCTCTGGAGCTTTAAGGGTGTGATGGAACCCAGTGCACTAACTTTTAACTTCTTTACCCCCAACCCTGTGACTTATGCAACCAATTATCTCAAAAAATAGGAGACTCTCTCATAGCACTGAACTCCCACCTGAAATGTGGGTAATTACCTTTTCCAAAGACAGCACCGTGTATACCATTTATTCTCCAATCAAAGTTATGAATGCAAATTGCTTCCACAAATTCACTGCTGGTGCCGTGAAACAGCATTTGTTCATTAATCTGAGGGATGCCTCTCTTCTTCTTGAGCTGAGCCTTTTTCCTAAAATCACAATACACAGAGATACAAAAGCACACACAGAAATATGCTAGTCAGTGGCACTTATTAAGGTTTGTTTTTTTTTGGTTTTTTTTTTGGTCTTTTTGAGACAGGGTCTCCCTGTAGCCCCAGCTGTCCTGGAACTCACTATGTAGACCAGGCTGGCCTTGAACTCACAGAGATTCGCCCGCCTCTGCCTCCCGAGTGCTTGGATTAAAGGCGTGCACCACTAAGCCCGGCCTTATTAAGTTTTTAAAGAGGAAAGTTCAACAGAAAGTATGACACAAAAATATGTCATATACTATAAATACTGAGTACACTTTACAGTTCTGGAAAATAAATGATTTCAAATGCTCCTGGACACATGAATCATCTAATCAAAAATTATGCTATCAGCTAGGTATGGTGGTGCACACCTATAATCCCAGAACCCAAGAGACATAGGCAGGAGGATGAGGAGTTCAAGACTAGCCTGGGCTACATCATGAGTTTGAGGCTACCCTGGGTTATATGAAACCTTATTTCAAAAACAAATGAACAATCACAGCTGTGTTGAGGCTGAAGGTTGAAAATTATATCAAAAACGGCTGGGGATGTAGCTTGGTGGTAGAATGCTTCTCTGGCATGCACCAAAGCCTGGGTTCCATTCCCAACACTGTTAAAGAGAAAAAGAGGAAGTGAAGGAGGGTGGAAGAGAGGAGAAAGAGAGAGAGAAATGAGAATTACATGAAAACTAGACATCCTGTACTGTATGTACCCCACCATAGTAAAGGCAACTGATAACCTAAAGTGGTTAAGCTACACAGATGTCTCAGATATCTATAAATGAGACTATAAACAAATAACACAAAGTCCGTAAGTCTTTAGCCAAAGCATTCCTACTTTGAGCTGGGACCACATTTTGTTCTTTTTATTCCAAAAGACTATTGGAAATATTGGTTGAATTGAAGTTTAATCATCTTTTCAATGAACAAATCTTTTCCACTGCATCAAAGAGTATTCAATGTAGGACTAGATGTATTAAGAGAGAGAGAAAAAAAAAACAGAACTGAAAGCCTAAAATTCACAGAAAAAAGAATAATTATATATTTACATATAAAAGTAAAAAGTAACAAATGTACTAATTTGTAGTATAATAAATACTAATTAAATTTGAAAGATAATGAACAGAAAAAGAATGTTGCAAAAATAGACATGTCTCAGAATAATGCTGTATATTATGTAGATACACATACCCAGGAAGTAAAAATATAAAAACATGGGCGAGAAAGCATCTCCTCTCAAGAGGACAGGAGGACAGGATGGGCTGGAATAAACACTTGCTCTATATCTGTGATGTCTCCTAGCTTTAAACCAAGATGTGCGATAAAGGGAATGTGCCAAGTATTGAAATGTTCAATGTGATTGTAGGTATATGGTGTTTGCAAGCAATTTGCTGCATTTTCAATTTTGAAATGTTTCACTGAAAATGTGCCTTAACAACAGGGCACCCCCTGACATCTCTGACAACTTGAGCTGAGTCTGAGCCTTTCCCTAAAAACATAATACATGTAAACAGAAAAACACGTATTTATGATTTTAAAAAGCAAATCTCAACAGAAAGGCTGAGAGAGCACCTCTTTTTAAACTTTTTATTATCTTATTATTTTTTTAAATTTTATGTGTTTTGCATTCAAGTGCACCCATGTTGTGCAATGCCCACAGAGGCCAGAAGAGGGTGGAGGATTCCCTAGACCTGAAGTTAAGGATGGGTGTTAGCCCCCAAGTGGGTGTTAGGAACTGAACCCAGGTCCTCTGCAAGAGCAGCCAGTGCTCTTAACCACTGAGCCATCTCTCCAGCCCCTGAACACTTCTTGAGTATGAATCGTGAGTGGACAAAACCTTTCTGGAAAAGTCAGGGGCTGCTTTAATACCACTGCAGTGCCAAGGACTTGTGGGTTAACAAGGTAACATTCTCTCTGTGATCAGCTGCAATTGTTATAAAATATATCCATCCCAACACTAAACCAAAATCTGCCCTTTTACTTCTGACTGGTCTTAGACACTCTTCTGAACACAGAATACTTCCAGCCACTCTTGCATAAAATAACTCCATAAATAACCCCAAATAACAATGAATTCCTCCCTCAGCTTTGTTCTCTGGGTTACACACACATCCCCCTGGCCATTCTCCACACCAGAACATCTTTACTTAATCAGAATTTGCTGAACAGCTTCTAGTTTACAAATGTTGGCAGGAAACAGAATCCCAGTCCAGCCACCATTAGACACACTGGCTTGACCAGAATTATTGGACTGGACTTTCTAATGGTGTCATCGGAAGGCTTCCATAGTATCTATAGTCAATTAAAATTCTCAGAATTTTTCAAAGTAGACCTCTCTCAACTTACCATATTTGAACAACAGACTAATAAAACTAGAGCTAGAGACTATGCATATTATAGACTGACAATTTTTACCATGACAGTCAATTGTTGAAGGTTAACACTCAAATGACAACAGAAAGGCTACTAATGAAGGTGCTGTGTGCAAATGGCAGAAATGGAAATACACGACAGTCCCCAGAAATCACTATGCAATATGCATCAAAATTAAATGTCTATGTTTGGATCTAAAACAAGAGTCTTTCCAGACCATTGTTCACATTAGAGGGATATACAGTAAGCAATTATATCCTTCACAAAAAAGTGCACGTTTTCCACTAAGAAATTACGCCTAATTTCTTTTTCCAGAACTTTATAAACTATCTCATTTTGGGGTGGGGGGAGCAATGCACATATTTTGCCTTTAACAGCTAATAGAAAAGAAAGCTTAAAACACACTTGTTTTGGTGTATATTCAACTTCCCAGGGTCTTTCTGACTACAGAGGTCACTCACGAGACAAGCTAATTCTTCTATCTGAATCCTTCTTTTCTGAGTGTGCTAGGCAAGAATTCTACATTCAAACTCCTGATAAAAATGTTGAAGGACCCCAGGAGGAAGTGAGCACGACATTCAAATCTTTGTGAAAGGCGTCTAAGCACTGACTAATCTTTCTTTGTACTGTCTCCTGACACATATTGTTCCTATCATAAGAAATTTTCTCAACCACTTTATAGAAGCCCACTTACTGATCCAAAGGCTTTCCTACATACTATGGTAACCTTCACAGCTTGGTATTAGTGAATCCATTTCAGGGTTTGTTTTTTTTTTTTAAAGTACATTATCTGTTTAATACATATACTTCTTTTAAAAATGTATTTATTTATTTGTGTATGGAGGCAGTGTAGGTATACATGTGCCACAGAATGTATGTGGAGGTCAGAGGACAACTTGCAGGGGTCAGTTCTCTTCTTCTACCACGTGGGATAGAACTCAGGTTGTTGGGCTTGGCAGCAAGCACCTTTACCCACTGAGCCATGTTGTTTGCCTTCTAAGGTCAAGTTTCATGAGCTGAAGTGACTAGAGTCCACTCTGAAAACCAACATGTCCATTTGTCATTGCATTCCAGACACAAATCAAAGTGAATCTTGATTTGAAAAGTGACTCTCATAAGTATTATAAACCATGGGGTAACAGGCCTGGTTAGCGAGCTCCAGCAGACTGTGAAATACTATGTGGCCACCAGAATGGAAGGAGTGTATGCACCAGCCAGAGGCAGAGGGGACAGGGTTTGTAAAGCTTTGCATCCCTACAGAAAGGTTTGTTTTAGTGTCCACAACTAATGCTCCAAGAAATGTGGGCTCACAGACTATGCCTTTGGCATGCCAGGAACTACAGTTAAACTTGTAAGGACAGACATGGGACTACACAAATTTCTTTAAGACTCTTTCCACTTGTGTCAGACCCACATTCATAGCTGAATTTACTCAAAGTGCTGTGGCACCCACTTCTCAAAGATATCTCAACATCCCCACCCTCTTGAGACTAGCATCCAAGAAGGCGAAACTCTGTACCTCATTCTGCACTGAAGCAGCAGTATCTCCATGCTCTGAACTGAAGGAAGTTCAGGTGGGTTTAGACCAGTGGTCTTTCATCCCAGAGGAACATCACAAACACTGTGGGACTCTTTAAAGAGAAACATGTCAGAACCCAGAGGTTCTGAGTCAGTGTTGCAGATACCTCCACTTGTTAAAGAGTCCTGCAGAACAGGGGGCTGGAGAGATGGCTCAGCGGTTAAGAACACTGACTGTTCTTGCAGAAGACCCGGGTTTGAATCCCAGCACCCACATGGCATTTAACAACTGTCTATAACTCCAGTTCCAGGGGATCTGACAGCCTCTTCTGTCCTCCACGGGCATTGCACAACACAGATGCACTAAACTACATGCAGGCCTAACACTCATGCACATTAAAATAAAAATAATAAATACACACACACACACACACACACACACATATATATATATATATTTAGAGTCTCACAGAGGGCTGTGATGCACAGCCAGGCTGAGCATCTCTGAGTGTCTGCGTGATCAAGATCTACACCCATATCAAGGCAGAAGCTTTTACACTCTCATTCCGTAGCGACTTATCAACCCAGCCATCTCCCCTGGCTGCTCTTTCACTGTATGCTTTCACTCAGCCATACACAATTCCCTGTGGCTTCCTCTGGACAGGCTCCATCTTCAGCTACACCCTCAGGGCTGAGGGAAATTCTATGGTTCCCAGTGGCTCTTCGGCCCCATTTCCCACAGTGGCCATTTCAAGTCTCTCCTTTTTCTTTCCCTTTCATCCACATCTCCATAGTGTTTCACTGTGTAGGTGACTTCACTTAGTCGACCATGGAAACTGAAAGGATTAAGAAGCAGGGCTGAATCTTGGCCTGTCCCCACCCCTCTACCTCTGCAAATCTATAACCGATCCACACATGCCTACCTCCTTTCTGATACCTGGTCACTTAATTCCACCCTACCACACCTCTTTGGGCATCTTAGTCAATCAAATGCCCTTCCCCGCTTCCTCTTATCTTTTAAACTCTCTTTTTCTAGAAGGTTCTTCCTATTACAATGCTTATCATAAATTCTTTTTTTGACTAACAAAACAAAACCCCTCTTTTCCTGCCCACTTCTCTTATTTCTCCGCCCCCCCCCCGCAGTGCCAAGCTTCCTAAAGCAGTTGTCAACCCTTACATGTTTATACAATATCCAACATTACTTTCATCAAGGTTACCAATGGCCTTTTGTTGCAAACCCCCAGGCCTTGCTTAGCCTGCATCTCCCCTGGCTTCTCTTCAATCTGCCTCTTCCTTAAGCTCTTGCACTCCACAGTCTACCATTTTATTCCTTTTCCACTTCAGCAGCTGTTATTTGTCTATTTTCTCTTCCTCTGTTCATCCTTCCAGAGTTTGGCCCTCTTTCCTTAATGTACATGCATTCTCTGGCTATCTTATTCATTCCTCAAACTGCCAGTGCCTCGTGTCTTCTAGCCTTTCTTTTAGTCTAAATCAAGCTCCTGAACGTGACTGTTGAGTACCAGCTGGCACTCCCTCTTACAGTCCCTACAAAGACCAAGGCTTGTCCTTAACCACATTCCCTCAGGCAACTATGAATAAGAAGCCAGGACCTAGGAACGACCTTTCCTGTCCCCCTCACCCATTGTACCCATCAAGCTCTATAATTTTACATCCTTAAGATCTCAAAACTGTCTCCTTTGCTCTGACACAGCAGGTGCCACTTTGTTCAGCGGCCATATGATGTGTCTCAGTTTAGTTACTAAAGCCATTTCCTAAATTGGTCTCCCTGCTTCCAACTGTGGTTCCTTTAAACCTGGGCTTCTCAAGCTTAGCAGAGCTGCTGTTTGAGGGTGGGAAGTTCCTGGTGCACATTGTAGGAGGGTTGGCATTCTTGGTCTCTATCCACTAGAGGCTAATAGCTACCTCCACTCCACCACAGGACAATCAAAAATGTCTCCTGCCATTACCAAAAGCCCCCCAGTATACAAGTCGCTCCCAGCTTAGAACCACTGCTTTAAGACTTCCCCATAGACTGTGGCCTGATGAATTACCACTCTAAAATACAAATCTGATCGATCATTCTCCTTCTTAAAGTTTTATAAACTGTCCACTGTTTCAGAAAAAGAACCCACCAAATTGACTTATAAAGCCCTGCAGCATAATGTACTGTGTGTGTGTGTGTGTGTGTGTGTGTGTGTGTGTGTGTGTGTGTGTGTGACGTGCTGGCCTGGAACTCACTATGTAGACCAGACTGGCCTTGAACTCACAGAGGTCCATATGCCTCTGCCTCCTGATTGTTAGGATTAAAGGCGTGCACCACCACAACTGGCTGCCTGCTAATTCTAATTTGCACTCTGGATCAATCTGACTCAAAGCCATAGAGGAAAATCATACAACCAGCCAGTGGTAATATTAACTCCCATATGCTCTGCCTTGTGGCTACATTCCTAATGTCTCACCATTCACACCAATTTTCTCTTCTATTTGAAAGTCTCTGAATTTTTTGTGTTCTCATTTTTAGCCAAACTTTGAACCAAGCTGCCCCCATGTCTAAGATGCCCTTCTCTCCCCAGCCTGTGTCTAATGTAAATTACTCCTCCATAAGAAGCTCTCCTGAGTACCCCCACTTTCCAACACACATCCTCCTTTTATGGGCATACCTGAGAGGGATTTTCCTAAGTTAAGTGAAATGGGACAATCCACCCTACTTGGGTGGCACCACTCCCTAGGCAAGAGAGGAGATGGCCAGCTGAGCAGGAGTGAGCACACACATCAATTCACTGCTCTCTGCTCTGGACTGTGGTTGTGAGACAATTGTCTGTTTTAAGTTCCTACAGCCTCTACTTCCAGGAAGTGGTAGGCCCTAACCAGGAATTGTGAGCTGAACAAATCTTTTCTCTCATAAATTGTTTATGCCAGGGTATTTTATCACAGCAATGGGAAACCGAACTAAAACAATCACCACAGTCAGCCTTGTTTTCAACAGGTGCAAATGAAATGTGTGATAGCCTAGGAACAGCTTTAAATACCAGTATGAGGCTGGAGAGGTGGCTCAGTGGTTAAGAGTACTGGTTGCTCTTGCAGAGGACCAAGGTTTGATTCTCAGCACCCACATGGTGGCTAACAACCATCCGTAACTCCAGTTCCAGAGGAATCACCTTTCTCCGACCTCTGCAGGTACTGCATGGCACGGGTGCACTTACACATGTGCAGGCAACACATTCATACATATAAAATAATAATAATAAATGAAATATTTAAATAATAACAAAGCAACAGATTAAGTGTGGTAAATCTTTGTTTCTTTGATTATATGTGGTAAATATTTATTTTTTGATTGTTTCTTTGAAAGAGAGTCTTACTATATGGTAGTACAAGCTAGCCTCAAACTTGTTCTGTGGCCCAGGCTGGTGCTGAATGCACAATCCTCCTGCCTCAGCTTCCTGAGTACTGGAATTACAGGTGTGTACCACCTTACCAGTCTTGTATGGTAAATCTTAAAAGACATTGAACAGGATGACAAGGGGCTCATTACAGTAGAATCCTACTTTTGTGGCCATTTGAAACTTTTCCAAATAAAACATTAAAAACTTATAATAAAAATACTGGAAATCAAAGCTCATCTACAAATGTTTATAATATTTCAGAGAACCACTTATTTAAGTAATATTTATTATAAAAGTACAACATGAGAGATCAATTTGGATAATCTTGTTAAGTGTCATGCAGTATGCTTTATTCTTAGGTTAAGCGCACACTGGGAAATTGAATGGTCTTTTCCAACTTATACTTAGTCATGAATCAAGATTTTAAATGCACAGCATAAACTCTGAGCTAAACAGGATATTTCAAGGTATGTTTTAAAGTGTTCCTTAAAACAAAACAAGCAAACAGCTACAGGCAAGATAGTGCACTTGTTTAAAAAAAAAGTCAATGTTGTTGGAGATTTCTAATTCAACATAAAAAGCTGAAGCAAGTTATAACAAAGCTAAGCTAAGCTCCTGAGACTTGTCATGACCCTGTCAGCCAGGATGAAGGGTTCTGGGCCTTGGAAGGAGACAAGAGTATTTTCCCTTGTACTGGCAGGAATTTATCCCAGAGCAGCTCTCTTCTGCTTCCCGAGGACAGAGAAAAGGAGAGCTGAGAGGCCGGGTCAGAACAGCAAGAGAAAAACAGCATGTGTGTTCCCTGGAAATCAATGCAACTAGACATCTGTGGGTGCCATCTCTACGATGTCAAAGAGCCATAGGGACAAGGAGTTTCAGGTTACCTGCAGAAGAACTCCCATAGGTCTAAGTTTTGAATCCTCTGAATTCTCTTAATTCGGTTGCGATCCATTGTTTTTCCAAAGAGACTAGCAACTTCGTTGTATTCATGTGTTTGGTTCTGCAAGGAGATAAGCTGGGAGAAGAGGATGCACACTTTAGCTGCGTTCTTTCCACTTACTTCCCCTCGTGGCCGGCTGTCAGTCTGTCTCACCTGATAGGGAACTTCAGTATTCACATTCTCCCAGTGTGTTGGCATGGGGATGGCCTCGTTTTCACAGATGTAACTTTAAACAGAAGACAAAGCCAAGTATCAGACAGAAGCAGATCACAATTAGAGTCCGTGATGGAGCCCCTTCCCCACAGCTGCATTTTCTGTTTTCAGGGTATGGTGACAAACACTATTAAGTTTAACCCTTGGTTTCTTTATTTTAAAATATCTACTGAGCCAGGTATAGTGATGCACACCCTTAATCCCACCATTCGGAGGGCAGAGGCAGACGGATGGCTATGAAATAGAGGCCAGCCTGGGATGGCCTATGTAGTGAGGTCCAGGCCAGCTGGGGGTACATGGTAAAACTCTGTCTCAACAAACAAACAAGAAACAAACAAACAAATTCTAAATATCTAATGTGTTCTATGTTTTAGGTGAATTATGAACTTTGATGGAATAGCCAAATCTACACAGCCCCAAAATTCCAATAAGAGCTGTTTAACTCAGCTTCTTTTTGTTGAAGTTTCTAAAATTTCTTCTAAAATCTATGTAAAAGACATTTTAGCTAAAGAAATTTCTAAGAAAAAGTTATTTAAAAAATACCTCAAAGCTGTTATTGATGTTCCTATTGAATAAAGAGCCATCCAAGTCTCCCAGGATTCTGACTCACCCCTTACCCTTTCTCTGCCTGCCGTTCCCTTTGGCAGTGAACATTAACTGACTCAGTGCAGTCCATCAGGAGCAAATATTTAAAAGTCAACTCTTTGGTCAATCCACTGAACATGAACATGGAAAGACAATGATGATGGGGGTTAATAGCAAAATGCTAAAACAGACACACAGGTCTTCCTTGGGAAATCAAAGTTAATAGAAGAAATGAACAAACTTCAAACCTATTCTTAGTTTACTTCTGTCAAACTTAGTTAATTTTTTGGAAAAAAAATGTGACTTTCTTAAGATTTATTTTCATTTTTGTGCATATTCTGTATCTGTATGACTATGCCACATGTATATGGGTTTCCATGGAGGCCAGAAGACGGTGGCAGAGCCCCTGGAGCTGCAGTTACAAGCAGATGTGAGCCGCATGATATGGGTGCTAGGACCCACACTAAGAGTTTTTAAAAGTGTACAAAGCACGCAGTGGGGAGTTTTTCTCTTAATCCAGTCATTGCTCTGACTGGTTCTTTCTTTGTCTCTCTCTTTCTTTCTTTTATTTTATGAGTATGAGTGTTTCACCTGCATGCATGTAAGTGCACCCATATGTGTAATGCCCATGGATGCCAGAAAAGGGCATTGGATCCCCTGGAACTGGAGCTAAGATGGTTGTTAGCCACTGTGTGAGAACTCGGGGAACGAACCCTCCTCAAGAGCAGCCGGTGCTCATAACTGCGGAGCCGTCTCTCCAGCCTTGGTTCTTTCTTCTCACCCTAACTCCACATAATCACCCTTTTCAGACTTTCGGGCATTCGTTCTGAACTTTGTTAGGTTCAGCAAGCCAAGTTTTATGCAACACAAATGGCAGCATAGAGCCATTTGCATCTAGGTTTTTTTAAATTAGTTGTTCATTTAATCAACTCTTAATCAAGATCTTTCCACATCAGCATCTACACAGTCTTGTCATTCCTAGGGCCTACAGGAGGGCACACCACATGATAGAGCCTCAGTTAAGAAGAGCTGAGTGAAAAGATGACTTCTGTGTTACAGATGCGTACAATTCCATTCAGTCTATATATGCCAAAGGGTGCAGAAAAGAAAATCTGCAGCCCAGATCCAGAGAACAGGATGCTGCCCTGTCAGCCCACTGAACGGTGTCTTCCCCAGGTCTCCTTCAGTCACTACGAAGCTGATGTTGCATCTAAGAGTTCCCCTAGGGGTGTGTGTATCAGTACAAGAGCCGACAAAGTGGGCAATTCTCTAGGATTTGTGGCCAAATAACTGGTGAGTTCTGTGAGAGCCGTGTGCATACTTCTGAGGGTATTCACTCGGTTCCGCTTTTGGTATCATATGCAGAATGCTGCAAAGAACAAGCTTTTCCATCTGTTGTTTCGTGTCCAGTGATTCATCTTGTACAGAGTAACATCTCTGAAATGACATTTCTCAGGCAAATGACATACTTATTCGTGATTTTGATAGGTACCCAAATCCCATCTTCAAAGGTTGTGCTTATTAAAGTTCTCACCAGAAACGGGAGGATGACTATCTTCCACCCTCTTCTCCAGAAAGGTATGTTATTACACTTTAGAATTTTGATGAGTCTGCTAACAAAAAGTCTAGCATCAATTCATTTCTCTTAATTCCGAGTGTGGTTGTATGACCATTCGAATTGTTTATCCATGCTGGTCTTAAGAGAGTTCTAGAAGAACTTCAAGTATTAGCTCTTCAACTATAACTATGAGTCTAAAAAGATCCCCAAGTCTTCTTATTCTGTCTAAAACATCTTTCAGCTATGGAAAAAAGTCTAAGAATGTTTTATGTAGCCCGGAGCCTTCATGAACTCTGTCAACAGGAAGCGTGTATATTCACCCTGTTTGTTATGAATGCCCAACACACTCCTACGCTGAACGTTTCTGTATCAGCGCCTCCTGGCCTTCATCACCTATTTTTCCTACTCAGTCACCCTCTCCTGTATTAGTGCCGGGCTTGCTGTCCCTGCCCTGAGTAATTCTCCCATCTTGTCTTTGTTCTGTGGTTTATACAGTCTGCAACAGAACAAACTGCTTGGCCCCAACCTCTTCTTCCCCTCAAAGGAATACCAGGTAGCATACAATTGCAAAATATTCCCCATTATTATGTCTCATTCTTCTCCCAGATTACACACTCTTAAAAGATAAGTCATCCCTATATTATATTCCTGACACTGAGGGGCATACAGATGATGTAGCTGATGGGAATAATTCTGTGTTCCACAGATCTAGCTGAGTCTTCCTTATAGAAGTTCTTGAATAACTTAAATCATGATGTTAAAATATGTCAAAACTCTTGAGAAGCAAACTGATAAAAATGGAAACTGTTTGTTTCTAGGATCCTTTCGGCTTCTTTCTTGTGCTTTAATTATTATAGAAGAGCTCCTTGGAAGGAGAAGGGTATTCCTTCCAATTCACACGCTGCGTTGCTTTCTTCAGTTCGATCTTAAGTTCTCTGAACAGAAGAAACGTCAACATTTGGCTGAAGAATCATTCCAGGAAACAAGAAATGCAAGATTTTCTCTTCTTTTCCATTCCATGTGTAATAAACATTTATCAAGTCTGGCATTTATGATTCCTTCTTTAGTCCAATACGACAAAAGGAACAAAAAAGGAAATCTGTAACCCAGATCCAGGAAACAGGATGCTCACTGCCAGTCCACTGGGGGGCATCTTCCCCAGGGCTCCGCTAGTCACTAAGCACCTCATGTTGCATCTAGGAGTTGCCAGAGTGGGATGTGTATCAGTGCAGGAGCTGACAAGGCGGGCAGTTTGACAGTGTTTGTGGCCAAATAGCTGGAGAGTTTTATGAGAGTGTTTCCTGTTCAAATTCAAACTGAGCTCAACAAGCCCTTTTGAGGGTTTTTAAGCAAAGATCACAAGGCAGTTTGTAATGACCATGTACACTGTTCTAAAGAACTGAAAAAATATAAATGTAAAAAAATAGAGTGAAAGAAAACCATGACAGAGATAATAATTTATCTTTTATCAGCAAATGAGAGGTGGAAGAGCTAAAAGGTCAACATTAAGATCATTACATGCCCTTCCAAGACAGTGTCAGTCTCTGTTTTTCTGCTAGAGAGTACGAAGGAGCAGGGAGAGGGCAGCCCCGCCCCATGCTGGTCCCTTTACCTGAAAGCACTGATGGAGAAGGGGGCCCTTTTGATTGGGCGCTGCTTCCCAGTAACGAGATTCATCTGCTTCATTTCTAAACACAAAGACAAGCATACCAGATGAGCCCAGAAACTGCTCTGGAGGGCCCTGCACACCAGCAGCCTAACCACAGGCAGGTCGGGGAGGAGCTGCATCTATTTCTCATGTCATGAAGGTGTCACTCCAGGGGACCTTGCTTCATTGCTTGGTCTAAACTCCACAGAAGAGGCACATTTCACACACAGCTCAGCAGCCAGGGGTACTCTGTGTCACACTTAGGTTTAAAATGACACTGAAATAGAAGAATTCTAAATACAGGAAAGCTAAGGAAGGGCACTAGAGAGAGAAGGGAATTACACTGACTCTCCCATTGGCTATAAGTAGAGATACGCACTGTGATTTCTCAAACGGAAAATTGAAAGTGAGAAGAGCTATTTCCATTATAAAACTTGTGCATCTCACAGAATTTCAAAAATGTACACATTTCTTTCCTTCTCATCCAACTGCTTCCTTAACCCCCCTCCCCCCCAAACAAGGGAAAAAAGAAAGGAAGAAAGGAGTTGAAAAGGAAAAATAAAATCTGGCAAGAAACAACACATCCTTGCATAAAAGATTCTGGTAACAAAAGGCTAATTACCCGCAGATAGCACTTTCTCCTTCTGTCCATGCATTGGCCTTGACACTATTTGCCAAGCCCATTTCACCACTGCCATAGGTAAGGAATAAGTCTTAGCATGAGCCTGGCCAAGTCATTTTGTTTATTTAACATCACTTCATTTGGCAAACACTAGTGTGTTGTGAGTGTGGCCATTCCTTTGTTCTCTTAGACACCCACAAGCATTACCACACTGTTCAGGAGAAAAGCAGGATCATCTCAGGGGCAGGGCATAAAAGCTGCAGGTGCATCTTCATAACCATCTCATTTTGAATTTACTTTCAACCTCTTTCACAGAGACAGGCAGAGCTGGCCAGTGGCAGAAGGACTGGGGCTAAAAGTCCTGAAAATACTGTCTAGGTCTCAAACCTTAAAACAATGCCATTCTGTAGAAGGTTTGGGAGCTTGGGCGATTAGTGCATCATCATCATGCTTTCGTCTCATGTAGCCCCAGATGGCCCAAACTCATTATCCAGTGGAGACTGGCCTTGAACTTGTGATCCTCCTGCCTCCATCTCCTGAGTCTTGATTCTGCTGTGAACCACCATGCCTGGTTTATACAGTGGTGGAGTTTCATGCGAGGCAAGCACTCTACCAACTGAGCTGCCTTCCCAGCCCCAGTAAAGGTATTTTTGATAAATTGTATTTCCTAACAGGAAGCTTCCAGAAAATAGAGTTTACTAGTAAATATTCTTTTAGAAATGAGCAGCTTACATTGTGATATGTGATCAAAATACTTGTATTAATAGGGACGATATTAGAAAATGCTTAGGACTCCTGGAATAGTGTTTGAGAAGTATGTATTTGCCTTTGGTCTCTGATTCCTTATTCCTATTTTTCCCCTTTAAACTTCATTGTATATACATTTTTATATAATCTGCTTCAAGTTATTTCTGGAAAATGTGATAAAAATGCCTCTCTTTGGAATAATAATAATAATAAAAAAAAATTTTAGAAAGTAAAAAAAAAAAGAAGAAATGAGCAGCTTGCTGAATTATCTACCACATACTTTTAAAAGTGTCATCCTAGCCGGGCATGGTGGCATACGCCTTTATTCCCAGCACTCGGGAGGCAGAGGCAGGTGGATCTCTGTGAGTTCAAGGCCAGCCTGGTCTACATAGTGGGTTCCAGGACAGTTGGGGCTACAGGGAGACCCTGTATCAAAAAGACCAAAAAAAAAAAAGTGTTATCCTTTTTATGAAGCCTGCAGCCTGTGTGTATCACACTGTTTTTGAACTACTTCAAAAACAGTGCTTCTACGAGGCTAATAACTTCTACAAGTACCTTCTGTCTGGACTGTACAAGCATAATGTCAGCATCCCCTTACAGCCAGCCCATTTACCTCATGTTATTTTTAAAAAGCAAGAGTAGTTGAAAGTAAAACTTTTTTTTCCACCCATGCTTGTTTTTTTTTTAAATTTTCAAATTTTATTTTCAAGTTTTTTTTTTTTAGAAGCATTTCATTACAGCTTTAACATATTCAGTAACACATTCCAGAGCAAGGATACATCTCTTTCAAAGGTGGCTGTTAATTTTTAGGTTCACAGTTGAATTAATACAGTCATACAATATTGAACTCAGTATAAACCTTGTAAGACATAAAACTGAATGAGTTTGTACCCTTTAAAGAAGATTTCCATTTCATTTTAAGACACGCTGTTTCCTACATTTTTAATGCTAACACAAGTTTGCACGGGTGTCTTTAATCTCTATGTATCTAATTACTACTAGTCACAGTTGGTTATACTCAGATCCTTAGTACCTGAGTATGTATATAAAGTCATCAGATAGATTTCACTGGTAATGTTTATCACCTCTTATTATTTATCATGAAGTAA